ATCTCGAAGTCCCCCTTGTGTTCTTCGTACTGTGTTTGCAGAGGCCGCAGAGGTGCCACTCACGTGTGATGGCGCTTCGTCAAGTTAGTTTCTTCTCTCTTAAACAAAACACCAAGCAGCAAGAACAGCAGAAACCAGTGTTTGATCTCCTTCCCAGAAGTGTGGGGTCACGTTCTGCTGCCTGAGGTCAGTGGTGCAGGCTCACGGGGGAGTCCAGGAGCTCTCATGCCCACTTTGGTTTTCAGAACTCTTCTTGCCAGAGAGCCCTGAACCATCATTCACTGTCTCATGTGAGATTACTTCGGATTTCTGCAGGTCTGGAAGGCCGGGCTACTAGCTGAGGCCGGAATGCTACTAACCCTGCTGCCTCCCTGTTTTGCTCACCGGGAAACCCAGTACAGACATTTCCCTCCAGTACTGTCCTCAGTGGGTGGAGCCAAGTCGGTGGCCTCCCAAGGCCCCCGCATCCGTGCCACCGTTTTCTGGGTCACGGTAATGACCAGCAGGCTGCGGCCGCGGGCCCCGTCTGGTCTCATCCACTGCTCTCCTTCCGTGCTGGAGCATGTGCACCCGCGTGAGCGTATGAGAGCGAGCGAGCGAGAGTCGGTGCCCGGGATGGGCTCGCCACGCCCGCCAGCTCCTCGGGGTCTGTGTGCCTTCAGGCTGACGGTCCTGATCCCGGGTCAGCCCGTGGCTTCTGTCACTGCTGTCTGCTACACACGGACTGTACCACGTGACCAGGCCTGCCCTCTGGCTTTGTACAACCTGCGAGCAAAGGACAGTTTTTACGTTTTCTGTGGTTGGAGAAGAGAAGAGCAGAGCTTTGTGACCATGACCGTGGACGCTCTAGTTCCGGTGCAGGACGTGGTCTGCTGGGGCACAGCGTCCCTTTGTTCCCACGTGGCCCGTGGTGGCCCCTGTTCCACAGCGGCGGAGTGGCACCACGGAGATGGGCCCTGGCCTGAAATAGTTACATCGAGCGCTTCAAGAAACAGCTGTGACCCTTCCCGCGGCAGAGGGCTGTATGGATGGGGTCTGGTGGGCGCCGGGACAGAGACTCCATCAATGGGAAAACTCAGTGACAGACGCAAGGTCCTTCCTAAGTTCACGTGGCTGGTCAGTGGGCAGAGCTGATAGAATCCGGGCTCCACTGGCTCCTGTCTCGTCCCACCACGCTGTGGCTTCTTTCCTGCAGAATCTGCTTAGGA